CGGATGACATTTGAAGTTCCGAAAATGGCGGTCTTCTGCAGTTCCCTGATGTCGTGTTCGCCTGGGATGTTGGCCAAATATTTTCTGAGCGACCTGGAGACAGTTCCTGTCGCTCCTATAACTATTGGGATTACTTTTGCTTGAACCTTCCACATTCTCTGTATTTCTATGAGAATGTCCTTGTACTTCAAGATATTTTCCGCTTCCTTCCTAATAACATTTCTGTCGGTTGATATTTCTATAACAGTTAAGAGACAAGTTGTATTTTTGTTTCAAATTATGATATAAAGTTTCTTATTTGGAATAGCTATATCTGCTTTGATTTGTTGATTTCACAAAATAGTTACTTGGTCATCCTGACTTGTCTCAACTGCCTTCTGAATGTGTTCATACCAGTGCTTCTCTTCTAGCTTTACCCCAGCTTTCCTGCATATGTTAAAATGTAATTGAGTACAGACACGACCACGTCGTTGTATATATTGCTCTCTTGCCAGCACGGGGCATCCGGACATAACGTGATCTGTCGTCTCATCAAATTATTATTATTATATTCCATGTATTCACCACTTTATGGGTATGTACTCCCATGTACCCAAGACAGACCTTGTCCCTAAGGTACATAGGGCAGCAGCTATTTCCGGAATCCATATTGTTTTTAGAAAGTGCCACATGTATTATAAAATGTTTTACAATACATGTGACACCAAACTACTTCCTTCATTTCTTCTCTTGTCCAAGCCACTCTTGTTTTTCTTGATTAATTTTCTTGTGAGTCTTGGGCTTGTTGGCTGTGCGTGTCCATGGTTGGCCTGCGTTGAGTTGGCTCGTTGCCGTAACCAACCTCAGCCCTTGGAGTACCTAGGCGACCTGTACTCCAGATCTTTGTCTTTCCATTCTTCGGTAGTAGCTGCACGGTTGTCCACACTTTGAACTAAGGGATTATTTATCGAGGTTTACTCCTCTAGATCCGCCGTGTTCTGTTATATAACAGGGTCACCTCTAGTCGGATGTGGCTCTTCACCACGCACGGACGGTCTTGAGCAAGGAGAGGCTCTTGGATGCCTAGCATCTGTATTGCGCTTCACTTACTCCTGGGTGGGTGAGGACCAGTGTCCAGCATAGTCAGACTATGATGGAGAAAGTTAATACCTCTCCCCATTACCTTAACCCCTTATTATTATTATTATTATTATTATTATTATTATGATTGTTGTTGTTGTTGTTGTTACCCAGTCAAAATGTCGCATTTAAGTTATTCACTTTAAAGGCCATTTGTGAGAGCCCACCGATGGTATATCATGTTCAAACTGTGAAAGACCATTTTTCCACTCCTAGACAGCAAGTAAGACGGTATTTTAATAAGATTTCCTCAAGTCCAAATATGCTCGAAAGTAAGTTCTTTGACTTCATTTCACCTGTTTCTGATTGAATGAAAACAAGTTTCCTTTCAGCGTAATTTCTATGGAAAGCTAGATGGATGTGGTAAGGTGTATTTCTTACAAGCTAGAAAAAAAAAGTCCAATAGTCTCTGATCAGTAAAAGGTGATTCCAGACTTAACCTCAATCCTCACGGATTTTTTCCATCCTCTTTTGAACAGAAACAGTAGGCCTGCTATGTAAAGAGAGTCGCCATATCCGAAAGATAGCGTTCCGATAACATTTGGAAGGGTAATGAAGACAGACTAAATCATTCTTTTTCTTTTCCACGAGTCTCTCTACGAAGCATTATTAAACACAATTTAACTTTCAAAGTGGAACGAAAGAGACACTAGCTGAAAAAACTGAACCTCGCAGATTGCAAGAAAAACGCGATGTACTGGAGTGCCAAGCGAAAACAAACGTGAAAAACATTCTTCTTTCAAACACAAACTTAATTTTTAGTAAATGTTAACGTGAAAATGATAAACTATAATGCATATTTTAATCGTGAGATAGGCCAGATTACTATAATTTTACGAAAGAAGACCTGCATAATAGTATGATTCAACGGAAGTGTCTATTTTAAGGACAGTTAATTGACCAATAGTGTGCAAACGAGATTTCTCTATGTGCCCCATAAAACATCTGAGCACGAAAAATTTATAAATGTTCAAGATTGCTTGGACTGCACCGTAATCTGCAGTTTATACTGATAAAACTGATGAGAAACAAGGAAAGTGGAAGGGATAAGTTCGAGTGTATGGGACCAGAGGGCGAAGAATTGTTTTCAATTAAACCTCCCTGTCAGCTTCACTGGTAACGCTGTGGTTGGTGATGCCATATAATAGTGTTTCTCTGGAGCTTTGTCACCGTGTTGAAGAAAAGACAGTGCATGGGCAGACGTGGGTGTTTGATTAACACGTTTTGTTTTGAATGTGGTATTTTAAGGTAAGCTAAAACACTGAGTTTTAAACATTTGTAGGTGTTAATATTAGAAGTGATGCACATAATTGCAGTTTATAGGTATTGTTACTGAGGTAAAAGTGTACTCAGGTATTCTGAGCGCCAAATCCATTATTAATAGATCGCTAGTTATAGCAACCGTCATTATATATCAATAAAACAAGTCGTGAGAATAGGCTTGCTTTGGAAATTTTTAAAACATTAATTATTTAAACTACATTATTAAAATGTTGGACCAGCAGAAGTTTGGCCTTTGAGCCATCCTGAGAAGATGATGCTGAGGAGGTTAGCGCTAAAGACACAGCTTGTGGATTCTGCAATAAACAATACAACTGCCGAAAATCTTCGCAATTTGAAGACCAGGTACAGTATATTAAATTATCTGTGTAGTATCATGAACAATACGTAGATACAAAAGGCTGCAAAGTACTTATTTGTAGGAACAACAAGTGGTAAACAGTTAAGTTTTTCTTCTTTTTTTGTCGTCAATCCCAGGATTGGTTGGCACCCCATACGGGGATTTACTAGCGAAGATACCACGGTGGTTTCGTCTTGTCTACCGTGGCCAGTCTTAACCCACCAGGCTGGAAGAGGAGGACGGACAAACATCCATGCCTTGAGTGGGACTCGAACCCACGGTCGCAGCGACCAGGCGAACGAGGATTATAGAAAACACTGTCATGAAAAATTCCAACGCAACTAACTAAAGACTTTCTGCTACTCAACACTCTTTGATATCTAGGAAATTATTTAAACTCAAATCTAAAATTTTTGTGACAATGGTACAGTAAAGCGTCCCGCTGTATGCTTAAGTAGGGACGTGGGGGGGAAGCTCCCGTCGGGGATCGAACCCCGATCGCAGAACCCGTAGCTAGTCACTACACTGACTGAGCTATCCCGGCTCATTTGTAACGATAGTGCGTTATTTAAATAAAAAGTTTTTGGGTGTTTTCCATTGTCTAATAAAATAATAAAATTGAACGACGTTTCGGTAATTCTATCGATTGGGCCCAACAAAGTAGGTTCAATTTTATTATTTTATTAGACGATGGAGAACATCCAAAAAATTTGTGTTTAAATTATTTAGTTCTGAAATTTACAATCGTAATAGCACCTCAAATACTGAGCGGAACTCCCTTGTTCTTGTGGTGTCCGCCATGAAGATAGACCCAGCGTTTCTTATATCAATGGGCAAACCTTCAATATTCCTCCTACGCCATCAGTTATAACTGCGCAAATCCGATATTGTGAAATTAATGGTAGGCGTTTTGAGGCTCCTTAATAAAAAGACGCGAACCTGCCTGGGACCTGTGTGTGGCAGATATTGCTAGACCCCGATTCGTTTCCTGTAAAGGTCAAGATTCGGGGATCATATTTCCAAATGGTTACATTTGATATTGGGCTGTAGGCCAACTAAGAAATATTGCCAACTTCCCTCTTGAATAAAAAAATCAATTGCTACTTACTAGTGTTAATTACTACTACTACTACTACTATGGCGTAACAGCCCAAAATCGAGCCAAAGTGAAGTGTTAATTAATCATTAATAATTAAGTTCAACTTTTATTATTTTACTTCACTGACTCAACAGCTGCTGGAACCTATTAAAAAGGCAGTACAAAAAAACTGAAATATCAATAGTACACAAACAAAAATTATTATACATATTTTACTGTACAGTAGCCACTCACTTAAAATCTTCCATTTATCTTACTGGATGTGAATTATGAATTTCGAAGGGTCACAGTTGCATTAGTCAGAGAAAAGGATGTAGGGTGGGATCTTGTCTGGAGATTGGGCTGTAGAGTTGGCAGGAGAGTTTGCTGTTGAATTTGAAGGCGCCTTTAACATTAAGGTTGTGCTGGAGATTCCTACTTCATAAGGAATTCATCCACCTCTACCTGAATTGTATCTCTTTGTATAGGGCAGTGTACCTGGATGTTGCTTTCTCTAAACATTTTCAATTATAAAACTTCTCTCAGAATTAGTGTCCAAACAAATAGTTTGGGCCCAATTTCTTCTTAACAGTAATGAAGAAACAGGATGCTGGACGAGAACTTCGCCCAAACATTATTAGAGCTGGGGTAGTTCAGTCAGGAAAATTACTGACTACAGACTGGATGGCCGGGGTTCGATCCCCGACGGGGGCAGAGAAATTTTTTTTTCCTCTAGCCTCTTCGTCCAGACCGGCTTTGGGGCCCACCCAGCCACCTATCCAATGGGTACCGGGGTCCTTTCTTGGCGGTAAAGCGTGGCCGAGGCGTGACTGTAACCACTCACACCACTATACTGCCGAGGTTAAGAATAAGTAGGAGCTGTACTACCTCTACCCCTAAGTGTCTTGTGGGACAGCTTTACTTTACTGTTGCCAAACATTATTAGGACAATGAAATCAAGGAGCATGAAATAAGTACAATGTGTTGCACACATGGAGAAGATGGGAATAGTATCAACAAATTTTGTTGCAAGGTCCGAGAGGAAGAAACTGCTTGGAAGTCCAAGGCATAGACGGTATGATAATATTATGATCTACTTAAAGAAACCAGTTTGGTTACGGAACTGATTGATGCGGCTCATAACACGGAACCATCTGAAAATGGTAACAACATACGGGGGGAAAAGAAGCATAACCATTAATTTTATGCACTTTTTCCAGGAAATATGTGGAAGTTTAACGCGCACTGGAATATGTCGCACATCTTCTACAGACGAAATACAACATAATGTTATTCATTTATAACAGTAAATTATTTTAGATATGCATGACTCTGAGTATGGAATACCTTCGCTGAAACGCTCTATGGGGCCGTGTTGAAAATATATCAATTCATCTACATTTACATTAGTGCTATTTTCGTATACATGTAAAGAAATATATTATGGCATAAGAATATGGATTTCAGTAGTATCTGTCGTTTCTGTATGGCGAAGGATGGCCCAATGCTGGACATATTTAAAGATGCAGCAATGATACTGAAAGCATATGCATTGCTGCCAAACCTAAAGGTGAGGTTATGGTGTTAATGTGGAACATTGTGCCGCGTTATGTAGTGTTTTTTACGAGTCCCATTATTCCGTGTTTCAACCGAACGAGATATGCATGGAAAGAAATGGTAAATATTGCAGTGCGAATAAAGCATAAACTTACAGATGATTGTCTTCTGGGTTGTTGCACACTGTAGTCATGTAGAAGTTACCGACGTTTCGAAGGTGAGGTGCTACCTCCATCATCAGGGCGATAATGAAAGCAGCAAGCACCAGGCTACATGGCATATCAACCCAGGGGACAAAGATGGCTGTCTTCTGGGTTACTGTGCCATGTAGTCAGGTGGAAATTTACCAACGTTTCAGAGGAACTTGCTGCCTACATATTCATGGTAATGATAGAGACAGCAAGTATCTTTGAAATATATAAGATAAACTTCTGCCGAACTACATGGCTCAACTACCCAGAAATCAGCCGTCTTCATACTTGCCACTGTGAGAACCTAAAATCTCACATAGGCTTACTGTTTTACTAGAGTATCTTGGAATTTACTACATACTGGAATGGTAATGCCTTTGTTCCTCAGGCTGAATACCGTTTATCTTCATATTTCCTCAAATTATAATTACCCCAAAATTTGCTTATCTTGTAAGAATTCAAATAATATTCAAAATCATGTTTGTGAAATAGTAATGTCCTCACCATAAAAGTCTTGACAATTTAGCAAAAGAAACAAATATAAAGAACATCTTGCATTATCCAGCAAAGTTGTAAATTACGGTTTGATTCTACCATTACACCACACTTTTGTACCATGAACAGAAAATTCTCCAGGATACCAGACTTGTGCAGAAATTACCTTGGCATTTTCATCCATACAAGTTTGCCTTGGCGACTTCATTACTGATAATGTTGGATTTTGGCAAATCATGTGTTACGTGTAAATCCTTGCCCTGTAAGAATGCAGGCATATGAGAATGAAAACTGTTAAATAAACCAGTTGATAAACCTGTATGTGTGAGAGAGAGCGAGATATGTGTGTGGTTATATATTACAAATTCTATCTATGAAAGATAAGATATTACCTTTTTCCAACTGTAATATGTGAATATACAATGTCTTATAAAAAAGTTGTTGCACACACTTGTAGCTTTGTGGTGGAACACCAGTTGCATAAAAAAATGTTTTTCAGCACTGCAGGTCTATAGTTAATAGGCTCATTTAAAGTATTTGTGTTTTTTAAATATATGCCTAAAAATACACAAGAAGCTGGCATAATTTTAAATTTTAATGTGGTAGTGTTCAGGTATTTACTGTTTTCTCTTCTGTACATTCTTCTATGGCGCAACAGCCCGAAGTCGAGCCTTGGCCTCCTTCCATGTGGGAGGTTTCTGTGTCTTTGAAGAGTGCATTTGTGAGTAGTGAGTGACAAGCCCACTGCCTCTGCATAATTTCTACTCAATCCTGATTTGTCTGCTAGAGCCATCTAGTAGTGAATCATGAGAGACTTGGGTGAGAAATGGCCGCTAAATTTTGCTTACAAAACATCTTGTTCATGCTCATAAGGTTCTTTTACAAGCCATAAATCTACAACATGGGACCGCCGGCTTTACTTCCCCTCCAAAGGAAGTTGTGCTACGTTTTTTTATCACCCTTAAAAATCCATTGACTTCAGCCAGTTATGAACCCACAAACCTTGGGTCCAGAAGCGAGCACGCTAACCACTAGTCCACTGAGGCTGACTCTTCTGTACAAAAATCAGGAACTCTTTCTCATTACTGAAACACTGCATCTTTTGTCTATAAAACTGTTGAATCCAATCACAGCCACAGACATTTCAGTTGGAGGTGGAGTGAACTGAAGACACACAGGACAGTGATTCATCAATGTTTACAAATTCACATATTGTGCATTTGGGGACAGCAAGGTGGTTAGCAGTTATATAATGCAGTCTACATCTGTTATTATGCAGTATGCTCACCACTTTATGTGCTAGATAGTAACATTATTTCCATTATAATATATTAAATCTTACCATTGTAATTTCAGTTACTGGACGATGGCTTGCCAAACCACATATGCAAACACTGTGTACATCAGCTGAAAGCAGCTTATAAGTTCAAGACAAAATGTGAACACACAGACACCATACTCCGCAGGCACCTTCAAAAGGCGCAACCTGTCAACACATCTTCAGTCATTGTATGTACCAATACAGAAACAAAATGACGATATTGTAGACTGCAGTGTTCAGTAATAAAATAAAAAGATCTAAAGGAAATAGTTGGACTTTCTTGATGCTACCACAATTTTCATTACTTTTCTGGTTTCATACATATAGATACTAAGTCAGATTTCAGGTTCTCACTACAGTGAGTATGAAGATAACTGTCTTTTGGGATGTTGCACCTCATTGCCCTGTCGATAGTGGCAGTAAGCACTTCTGAAACATTGGTCAGTTTCTATGGTGCAACATTCTATAAGACAGTTATATTTAAGTAAGTACTACCAGTACTTGGAATGTGGATGGGTTGATGCAACTTATTTAAATAAAAAGATTTGGACGGAGAGAACAATTGAAATGCTATATGAGGATAATTACATTAGAATGGTTTGTGTTATGATTAACAGCCACAGACAGCAGGATGCAGTAAATGTTGATGTTAGGTTGGCACCTTACTTGATATGCTAAAATGTGCTATTTAACAAATAATTAACTCATCAGTAATGGCAAAATACCATGTATCAAATGGCACAGCAGTGGATAAATATGAATTTAACTTGTCTGCTGACACATTGCTTCTGTTAAATAATTCTACTGTGTTTGTCATCATGTTTTATAATAACAACTTAAATTTATCAGGTGAACTGTGTCATCTGCTCATCAAACTGTCGATATTAACTCTTTCATGGTAATGTTTCCCTGTAAATAGTATATTCTCCCAGGTCACTATTTTGCAAAATGTTAAAAAGCACATCCATATGAACTATTTGTGCCTCACTGTGAGATTTATAGTAGGTTATGACACACAAATTTTTAGTTTAAACTTAATGAAGTTCTCTTACCCCACATGTTGCATGCCCATGGTACAATTACTGAAATAGAATATGCAATTCTACCAACACATAAAGATTACTGCCTGTTGACAACAACTTTAAACTAGTAGCATTAAATGTTGCAAAATTACTGTTGTATTTATTGCTCTGATACTTGCCACAGAAGAAGAGCACAAGTTCTTTTAATCATAGCCAACAGCTACTTGTATTATAAGATGCTCTGTAACCAGACAAAAGATTTGCATTGGGACAGTGAAAGGTTAAATGCAATCCTATGTACATTAGCTGAGAGTTCTTTTGCAAGTAGGCCTGCATTTGACTTAATATATTATGAATGTAAAGCACTTTTGAAACATAATTTTATTCAAAGTGAATATCATTTGTGAAAATAATGTAATTTACCAAGTGTTATTTAATGCACCACTAATTTCATGCTAAGTATGACAAAATTCTGTCATAGCATCATTAATCATTTTCACTGTAATGAGTGCCTACAGGGGTATTGACAGCATAGTAATACATGCTGTCACAGTCTTGCACTGTTTCTCTGTTCTAACTTAACAGTACTAATTCAGTGTCCCAGAATTATTAAAATTGGATGGTGTAAAGCCAGGACTGTATGATGGATGTTGGAGGATTAAAAATTGATCCACTTTTGGATTTATTACTCATGCATGGTTTGTGATTAGTACTGTAGGGCCGATTCATATAAAGTAGGCCTGAAGATGACTGTAAAAGGTAGAAACATATTGCCTTGATATACTATATTGAATAAAGTTATGTAGATTGAAGGATAAATAATATTATTTTTATCAAATTTCATATTGCTGATGGTTTTGCTGGCATCAGTTTGTTATGCGGCATGTCACTTTATTTAACGCCAGTGACTTGTTCCTCTGTCTTGAAAATAAACTAATACAGGGCTACTGGAATCTCAGAAAATTTTTAACATCACTTTCTCTGTTGTAATTTCAATCTGTTAGCAACCTGAGAGAATTTGTGCAGCCACTGCACTGTTTATTTCGTACCCTCACAGTGGTGGGCTGAGCTGTCACCACCAGCTACTGTGAAATTCAGAAAAGCTTATATTTCATCACAACACTCCTGCAGATAATTTCTGCTGACTTCCAGATGTGCTATCTGCACCTCTATCAATCACTTCAGAACCAGTCTGGGACAGACTTTGTGGTATTTCATCATGAGCATTGCATAAAGACATACTGTCTATTGTTTGGTAATTTTTGGCAATATTATCTGTATAAAGTTATTTTTCCTTGTGTCACAAAATAAATATGTAATATAGAAAACTGTTTCAAATAAAGAGTTACATATCTTAATAAAGTCATTTTTAATTATTAAGTTTTAATAATAATGAATTTGGACAGTTCCTTTTGCTAACAGGGATACACTGTTCATTTGGTTCAAGCACCACTTTCTACTATTTTATATCTTATATCAGTTTTTTGCATGATGAGAAATTTTATAAAGTTCAGCTTGAATTTAACATAAATCAGACAGATAAGGACAAAAATTAAATTTGCTTGGCAACTTTTAACTCAAAATTTACCAAAATGCGTGGAGTGAATATGGTGATGAATTGTGCCATCACATCCCAATTATGCATTCATTTTATGTACTACGTGCAACTAATGCGTGAACATTATTAACTTCAGTAGCAGCATTCAGTTTTAATTATACATCAAATAAACTGAATATCTCAATTTGAAGATGGCTGTCTTCTGGGATATAGCACCATGCAGACAGCCTTCTTCATACTTATCACTGTGAGAACCTCAAATCTCATTTTACTCAAATTTATGTAAGGAGTTTACAGATGAAAATAAGGATAATACCTTGCTCCATCTCCCTCAAACAATATGTTACATGAAATGCATCTCTGTGATAGTTTGTGTAAGTGAAAAAGCATCTAAGAGTTTTGAAAGAGAGGGAGTTTATGATATCTAGTGTGTTATTTTCTTTATTGTAGTAATGTTATGTTATGTTATTCTCTGAAATATTCATATAAATTTGCAATTATATTTTTATTGTTACATACATGGAAGGAGAATACAATTATAAGTACAGTGTAAAGAAACTGAATAATAAAACCAGTTGAAAACTCAGTTTAAGAAAGGCCAAATATTTTGTTCCACAAATTTAATTACATTGGAACTGTAATACTGTACTCAGAAAAACATGCTGCAGTGTTGATGAACCTTATATTCATACTTTTCTAGGGTACAGAAGCTTATTATACATTAATGCAGGCTTAGTTTCATGAAGAGTTCGTGTTCATGTGGTGTTTATGTGAACATGTTCAATATGATGTCCTTTGACCTCATGGACTCACTGTAAATAAATCGCAAAGTTGTCAACTGTATCACAACATGTGACCTGTGATATCTTCAGCAACAGCTTGCAACTCCAAGAAACATATGTGGTCAGTGTGGTACACATGATCTTTTAGGAAATATTCACAAGGATTCATATCCAGTGAACATGGTGGCCAGGACCACCTGCAACACGTCATGCAGGACTCCAAGACAACATTTGCTGTATATGGGCATGTACCATCCTGCTGCAAAAACGTTGTATTCACATACCCTGCTCCTTGAATGACTAAAATGACCTTATTTTGCAGTTGCTGCAGGTACCACTGGCTGCTTGCAGTCCAATAAGCCCTCCCTTGTTGATTGCACACCACATGGAACATTTTTCAGGAGGAAGTGATGTCACCATGACTATGTTAGAATCTTCAGGGGCCCAAAACCTTGTTCATGAATCCATTGAGGTGGGAATAGTCTAAACCACAAGCAGCCTAAAGTGGTAACATATTGCTCAAAAACTGTAAGAAGTCTAAACATATCACACTTCTTTGCTTGTTGTCTGCTCTGTACCACTTGGTTTTTGTAAGGAAACAATGGCATATCCCATTGCATAATGGTGTATGTTAATGTGCATTTGATACCAGTGACAGAGAACTTTTTCTCAGAGTCCAGAACAATGTTTCACATACACGAGCATACTGTTTTCCATGACCTGTGCCTTCCCTTCTTATCTTTCTTGTTGTCACAAACACTGCCAGTTTATACATACTTGTACCAGACAGATGACTGCAGATCTTGTTAGTGCCTGCCACATGTTGAAATTGCTCCAAACTTTTCTTTGACTCTCACAAATCTGCTCATTTGGTAAAATGTTCTGACAATAAACACATGCTCCTCCACGCTCTACACCATCATGCACAGAACACACTGTTTACTGAACTCCAAACTCCTGACATCCCCACATCCAGTGGTAACATATTTTACTTTTCCCACTAGTTATTCTATAGTGGTGCACATTTTAAACTGTTTACATGTTTTCCAAATACCCCATATGTACCGCATTTGCATGTGCTCTATCATAGTTTCTTATGTTGTGATTCAGAGTCCTCTTTAACATAGCTATTTCTGGAGTGAATGAGTTGGGAAGCTGCCCATGGTTTCACTGCTTCGGAGGTGCCATGCATCAACATCTACTACTACTACTACTACTATGGCGTAACAGCCCAAAATCGAGCCCTAACCTCCTCTATCTTCTTCCTCCAATTCTCTCTATCCAACGCTATCCTTCTCCAAGCTGCTGTTCCAAGGAGATTTCTGGAGTCAGTCGTCACTGCATCCAGCCTTCTACCTTTAGGTCTTCCCACTGGCCTTCTCCCATATATTGTTCCTTCCAATATTTTTTTGGGTATCCTATACTCTTCCATCCTGTAGACATGTCCAGCCCATTCCAACCTTCTCAGTTTAATGTGAGTTACTATATCATCACTTTTATATAGTCTATATAGCTCATGATTGTAGCGTATCCTCCACTTTGAGTTTTCCTGTACTGGTCCAAAGATTCTTCTCAAAATCTTTCTTTCAAGTGCGCCCAGCATCATTTCTGTTTTCTTTGTCAGTGTCCAGAGCTCACTTGCATAGCAGAGGATACTCCTGATGATGGTCTTATATATCCTTATTTTACTGCTTTTATGTACACAATTAGATTTCATAATCCCTTTTAACGCAAAATATATTTTATTTGCTGCTGTTATTCTACTTTGTACTTCAGTCAACTCATCATTATTACTTGTCAGGATTGTTCCAAGATATTTAAATTCT